GATGGTGGACAGGCTGGGGCATCAGCTGGAGGACATGCTGCTGGAGTGTAAATTCCAGGGAGAGAATTGCACCTACAGGAACTTCACTCCTGTACGTACAGAGCGGGCAAGGCCACGAGGAGGCTGGCGTGGGTGCGATAGAGCGACAGCAAATATATTGTTCCTTCATTCAAGTAGGATCTGACTTTCAGTTCAGTTGTGTGTCCTGTAAGTTGGTAAATAGCATCTGCAAAGGAGACTGATAGATGACGTGCCCTTAGAGGCACAGCGATGGACCCCGGGCAGAAAAAACACGAGCTGGGGGTGATTTAAATTTTTTGCTAGATAATTAATTGAGATTGGATGATCAACCAGAGATTTGTAGGTTCAGATTTTGCAGGTGTGGTTGCTCTGTAAGTTGTAACATCATTAAACTAAACTGATTCAGTGACAGTCCATTTATAAATGCATAAGATGTATAATTTATGCAAGTCATGCTGCGTAAGGACATCAATTATAATTGCGTTAACAGTCATTTAGAAAGGCGATTCTTAATTTGAAATGCATCAGTGCCGTTACGTTTCTGCAGATTTAGCGGGGAGAAAATAACACTGTGGCAGCAATTTGGGAATTGAGTCGACCTGGGTGCCTATGCTCAGTGCCCCCCTCGCACTGTCTGTCGGAGCGGCTCGTCTCCGTGAGGTGCGTTCAGGCAGGGACCCCGGCGCGGGCACTGAGGTAATTGTACGAGCATTCGCGCGCAGTGGTAACCGCCAAAGCAGCTCATCGTGACAGTTTATTGCGAAAGTGTGGGCAGTCAAGTGTAAATTTAATTTCTCCTGTCAGATTAAAAACAAGAACAAAGCTACAGGAAAACCCAGGATTGCTTGATGTCGTGCAGCTGTGGTTTTGCATGCGTGTCTGGCAGTCTCGGAGCTAGCCGCAGAGGGGGCTTTGTAGCCGATGGGCAGTTTTCTCTGGGACAGCCATGTCGACACGTGCCAGGTGTCGAGCGCTTTCCCTCGAGCACGGCGGACAGCAGCTGTGCTCCTTTGCCGTGCTCTGCTCAGGTCTGCTTGTTTTCTCGGTACAAATAAGTGCTTGTCTGAGATCGTCTGTCTCAAATCTCTCTCAGGCTGATAGTCATGCCCAGAATATTGTGGAAGGGAGCAGTTCAGTGATGAATGGAAAACAAAAATTCCTAACCCTAACAGCAACTTCCAAACACATGTCCATCCTCTCTTGCTCCAAAGCGTTTCTTCACCTGACTCATCCTCTGCACTCTGATTGGTAAATCGTCTGTGTTGTCAATGCCCTTTCTTTCTAAAGCATGAAGTATCCAGTGAGCTTTCCCTGTCAGCCAGTTCAAGGTCCCTGTTGTGCGTTATAATCAAGTGGGAGTGTTAAAATTGCGTAGATCCATTAACTACTAGAGCCATTAACTGAGAGAAACCTAAACCTCTATACAGTATGAAGTTTGTGGCCAAAATAATGTGGTGACACCAAGAGGAATCTTTTTCTAATATTTAAAAACATTACACCTGAAGTTTTTCTTTTGCAGACTTGTGGGGGAGTTTACCCCATATTCCCGTGGTGGTGTATCCAGAGAAAGAAGTGCATTAGCCAAACAGAATGGGACTCACTGAGAGAGGCCAGCCTTGATAGCATGATTATGATTATGCTGTTTGCTTTGTATTATTAGGCTGTTTGCGCTCAGCCCCACTGCGACACGTGCTGATGGTTAGGGCTTTCTTCGTGAAATATCATCATTTCCTTTTCTGTGCTCTCCATTTGTTCTGGCACCTATGGGAAGAAAAACAACTAAATATATATATATGTGGCTGCAGCAGCTAAAAGTCTGTAAATAAGGCAATTAAGCTGAAGTTTGTCATTTTGTGGTCTGTATTGTCAATACTGAGTTGTTTCCCTCACAAAGCTAATGACTTGAGCTTAGACTATTGGCAGGTTCACAACTCCATTGTCTTAATTCACAAATACACCACCCTGCACCGCCCCCCCTCCTCCCCCCCCCCAGTGTTATTAAGGGAAAGTAATCACAGTGACGCTTTCCTGCTGGGAGGGGGCTACTGACTGATGGCTGTCATTACATTCTCATTAGGAAAGTTCTGCCTGAAAACAGGAAACAATCATTCTTCAATATCATAGGACTAACATGGAAGATTCATCATTAATAGCCATGCAGACGCTTACCTATAAACATAGAAATGGTAAATGAATAGGGAGCAGGCCGGAATGCTGGCTTAAATTTATTCAAATCAGGGAATCTGGAATTATCCACCTGATATTTTCTATTTTCTCGCATCTACCTTGAAGGAAATGTCAGTGAAATTGAGAAATGGCTGCCTTTTAGTCTGCGAAGAAATTGGAGGTGGGAAAGCGAATGAGGAGCATGACTGGCAGGACTTAACAAGCCTCCAGGGCCCAAAAACGGAAGCGGGGCGTACACTCTCACCGGCTCCTTTTAAAGGCCTTGTTTAAAGCCAAATTAAAGACCCGGGCGTTTCTCTTGCCGCATTCAAGCCGAGAGCTGAGCTGGACTTCTGACTTGTTTGGTGGCCGGGGGGGGTCTGATTGTGTAGGGGAAGATGAATGAGTTTCCTGGTTCTTGCAGTGACAAGTGTAGGTGGTCATTTGGACTCCAGGTGCGAGACCTAACATCGCCCCCTGCAGGGGGTCGAAAATACTGCACGTTGATGTACCGGCGATATGATAAGGGCCCTGCTCCCGTGGATCTGTCACAAGTGAGTCGTCCTGCGGTGTCTCCACTCTGGCAGCCGGGGCACTGGGGCGAGCCTGTCCCACTGGAGCGAGCCTGTCCCACTGGAGCAGCCTGCACTGTGGTGTCCCGCGGTACATCTCAGGATGTGCAGGGCTGCGCCAGTTATTTCCACTGTTTTCGGGGCCTTGCTGCATCTCTTATCTGGAGAACATATAGTCCCCTCCCACTGCTATGTATAAATCCCAAATACCAGGCCAGGAAGACCAGGAATGCACATTGCCTCTTAGGGCACCGAAACGTCAACATTCAAGATGTTAATGATGATGCTCTAGCTGAACAGCCCTTTGCTTTTCTTTAAAAGCACTTTTTTAAATGATTATTCAAAAATGAAAACATATTTAGAGGTTAATTGCAAAGCTGGTTTTTCCTAGAGAGAGATGCTGCACTCAAGCATATCTGTCTGTGTATAAAAAAGCCTGTGAAAGCATGATGCAATAGATGTCAGTGGTGGTTATTAACAGGAAGGATTCCTTTGTTACAATCTGCAGTATGTGGGCTTTATCTCTGAACAGATCTGTTTAGGCAGCAAACAGTCGACCTGTATCAACGCTGAAGTGCTTGATTTCTGTTTGCTTTAAGCCTCAGCTACAGAGACCGCAGACCAGGGAAAGCAGGTTATCCTTTAACGCTGTCTGCTGTCGGGGAGCTGTCCAGATAAAAGCATCTTCGGGGGTCTTCCTTGATCTGCGTTTTTGGTCCGTCAGGCCCAGGATAAGAGAGTTAAAAGGGTGCCAGCTTCTCCTCAGGACAGGAAGGGAATGTTTCCTGACAGCGTGGCGCAGACGGCAAGGCTAGTAGTGCGGCCAACATCCTGAATTGCAACTGAAATCCTGCGTCCCCCAGCAGCTCCAGCCCCCCCCCCCCCCCCCCCGCCTCGAAGTGCCACGTAGGCAGGCATCCGGCTCGTCTATTGCACTGGGATTTTTCCTATTTCTGCTCCCAGAAATAACCGCACCTCCGATGTCTTGTGAGCCTCCTGCTGAGGCTCAGCGGAGGTGATGCGGGTTAGCGGCACTGCCGCCGCACGCCGAAGTGGGCGGAGTCACAATGCCGCGCGTTCACGCACAGCCCCCCCGCGTCGCTCCCGCCGTCCCTGTGATTGGTAAATAAGCCTTGCTGCTGTATCCCATCTCTGTGGGATGAGGTGTCCAGTACAATGGGTGGGGGGGGGCATGAAACATTCGCTGACTGTCGACAGGTGCCCCCCCACCCCCCACCGGCATTTCCCAGTGCTCAGCAGGATGAGACTTTAAAAAATGGAGGAGCAGACCTGTAAATTGAGACCCCCCCGCCCCCCCACGGCGCTGCCAGCTGCGGGCACCGTCTGCTGGCTTTGGCTTCTGCTCTGATGGAGAACGGAGCATCTCTGCCTGCCTGACTCACTGCATCGGGGGGGGGTGGTCCTCATCGCAGGCGATTAAGGCCATGTACTTTATGAAAAAAGATGGGAAAGTGTGTATTTGATGCATCAAACACTAAAACAGTACAGGGGTGCAGTAGTTATCCAGTCACAGTGATGTCATCTTAATAAAACAAGAATTTGAAAATGTGTTTCTCAACTAAAACATCTCAAACATCAGAATGAGAAAACAGCATTTTTTTTCCAGCTTCCGTGCTACTTGTTAGACAGTAGCTAGGACCAGACTATTTTCAGATGAGCTAAATGTAAAACAAGCCAGTCATTCAAATCTGTGCAGCCAGAGATGTGGGCCGCAGACCGGACATGGGCCAGTCATGTTGATCAGAACCTAGGGAGGCTTTCTGAGAGGCTCCACAGTGACGTCATAGCTTTTAGGGGGGCAGAGACGCTTGCAGGGCCTCATGTACAAGAATGTGCCGGTCCTCTGGGCTCAGGGAACAGCAGAGCCTTCTAGAATGTGAATAAAGTACAGAGATTGTGCGCTTGCTTGTGTATTTTAGCACTGCAGTGCGGCTGAATTCCTGGTGCAGATATACCTGAAAAAGTAAGCAGTATTCTCCAGAAATTTGGCCAGAACCAAGCCAACCTCAATCCCTTCCCAGGAACGACCGAGCAGTAATTAAACAAAGATGCAATTAAATGTTTGAATTGCAAATTGCTGCTTTATGGCTTCGGACAAGCAGATAAAGCACATTCTCATTCTTTGGAGGTTGTTCATGAAATCAGCTTTGTTCAGAACTGCAGATAACTCTAGTTGTTGCCTCGCCATCTTAATATTCTGCAAATGTGTGTCCTCCTCAGATCTACACACGATATGGGAAATGTTACACCTTTAACTCTGGGAAGGACGGCAACCCTCTACTGACGACGCTAAAGGGGGGCACCGGCAACGGGCTGGAGATCATGCTGGACATCCAGCAGGATGAGTACCTGCCCGTCTGGGGGGAGACAGGTAAGATCAAGAACCTCTTGACCCCCATCTCTCATTAGCAAGCCCACCCCAAACGCCCTGTCCTTCCCAGTCCCACAGCAGAGTATGAGAAGGTTCAGTCAGGCAATGTAGATCACGGCTTACCTGGACAGTCCCTCTGAAGGCCCAGTTTGGCTCATAGGAGTTTTACTTGCACAAAAGTGTTCTGAGGGCAGAGCGAAAAATGATTGGTTCAGACAGACAACCAATAAGATTGTTGAGGAGGTGGGTCCAAGCGACTAGAGGAGGCAGGACCAACCAATCAGATATCTTGGTCCCACCTCCTTTACAATCTGATTGGTTATCTCTCTGAACCAATCATGTTTCCTTCTGTCCTCAGAATAATTTCGCGTAAGTAAAACTCACATGAGCACCCATGAGTTTGCCTCCCAGATGGTTCTGCCATAACCCATCCAGCCGGGCACCCAGCACAGCCACAGTAAGAGGCATCCTCAGACCCTCTTGTGCATTTAGGCCAACACTCATCCCCAGTCTAACGCCTCGGAGAGTAGCGCGCGCACACCTGGAAATGAAAGTGCAGAGAATCCTGATGGCTTCCGATTCCATTCGGATTAAAGCCATGAATTTACAAACATGACATTAATCTTACAGACACTATCATTCTGAAATCTATTTTTGTAGAAATGTATGGGTTTTATAAAGCACATTACTTTATTACAGACAGGTACATTCCTCATATCCTCATCCATCCATCAGATAACTGACCTCTCTCTCAGGGCTTCTGGCCCCAAGTCCCCGTAAAGCAGCCCCCGCCAGAAGCTTAAACGCTCATCTAAACTTGCAGTTGGTGAGGTGGCAGACTCCTCTGTAACACACACCGGCGCCGTAGGACAGTCTTCTTTCAGTCTTCTTTGCCTTTCCTGCTGCATTCTGCAAAGTTTTTGCTTGTTCAGCTGTTGGCGAGTTTTGCTTTTGCTCAGTCGTGTACCGCCACTGTTTTAAAGTAGGAGGCAAGATGGCAAAGGGCTGCCAGGCCAGCGCAGGGCCGCCCGGGGATACTCGCAGGGTATCGAGGCTTATCCACGGATGCGAAACCCGCTCGCTCTCTCGCTCCTGGCTGTGTAACCGGGCGGCCCTTCATCACACTTCATCCAAAAGGCCAAGACGAAGCGGTTTTGTTGGCTGACACCCCCAAACACTGGGCAGCTTTGCTGCAACATGCACAGCTTCTTATCTTGCCTTATAAAACATTCACCGGCGTTACAGTTATTCACAGTCTTAATGAGTTTTAAAGTCTCGGAGCCATTCTGGATTGTAATTTTCTCCTTCATTGGGAAGGCGAACGGGATGCACGCTCTGAAAATGCAAGGGGGAAGTAATTTGGTTTTTATATTTGGAGACAATTGAAACTTGTTACTTTTGTTTTCCTTAAATGTTTCCTTCCTGTTTACGTCTGACCAATATGCAGACTAAATTTATGTGGACACTTTATCTAATTTCACTTTTGGGGCAAGAACAGATGCGTTTCCCCATAATATCCAAGGAGAAATAAACAAAGTCCCTAAATAGCAAATGCAACTTCCCGTTTGACAGTGATTTACCTTGACTTTGTATTACTTTGTGGTAACGTTTTAATTTGCGTGTTACTTCAGATGGCCTTACTTAAGTTATTAAATCATGAAACTTTGTGATACTGGGGCTATTTATTTAAAATGTGTATGTGTTTTCATATATTTAACATTATTAAGAACTGAAAACTTAATAAAAAAGAAACTGAAAAGAAACTTTTTCATTGAGTTCAAATTGTTCATAAGGATGCATTATATCTGAAAGGGTTGCTTGTTGTAATAGGAGATGTGAACACATATGGTGCAGCATAGGGCTTTACTCGCTCTAAAAGAGCCAGAGTAGATGCGGAAGTGGCTCGCTTTCGGCCTGGGAGACCATGCCACCATCGCGGACAGGGGGTCAGCAACGTAACTGACGTGCGGCATTTGAGAAGGCAGGCCTGAGTGTTACTGTGTAAGCAGGATATGTTCCCAAAGGAACTCTGCATTTCTCCCTGGGAGGCCGGAACCATGGCAAAGGGATTAAGGGTTAGACTTCAACCTGAGTTTATTGTTGGATCTTTATGGTTTCTGCTGGTTCTTCCTTCTAAAGTTGCTCATAAAGTGCTCTGCCCGTTTCTGTTCCCCTTGAACTGTAACACATCAGGTCCCTGTCCTTAAATGCCACGCTTCCCAGTCTACGTGTTATGGAGAGGCTGGTCAGACAAAAAGGGGAGCTTTCCAGCAAATTAGCATACACCGACATGAAAGGCATGATGGAATGGATGGATGATGAGGATCCTCTGGGGGAAGAAAAGAAAAAAAAAAGATAAAAACGGCGTTTGACCATAAAATCGATGATTTAACTCTTAGTGTCATAATAATGATGTGTGTTGGGTAAATGTCTAGCTGATGTTTCCGGAGAAGTCCGGCACTGTGCTGGAGGCCTGCAGTTACGTTCTCTGGTGGTGCTGTGTCCACAGATGAGACCTCCTACGAAGCAGGCATCAAGGTTCAGATCCACAGCCAGGACGAGCCCCCCTTCATAGACCAGCTGGGATTTGGTGTGGCTCCAGGCTTTCAGACGTTTGTCTCATGTCAACAGCAACGGGTACTACATTCTCAGCTCGCCCGCCCCCTGTCGCTGTTGCCACCTTCTAGCCTTGTGTGTCTATGATCCCCCCCCCCCCCCCCCCCCGCACCCACCTTCTCTGGCTCCTGCCGCCTACTTGTGTCACATCATGAAGGAAATTAGATGCCCCCCCCCCGCCTCCCCGTTTGCTTCACAGTGTCACGCAACGGAAACGTGCAGCTTATTAAGCCCTGAGGCAAAGCCGCCCTCATTCAAACCTGTAGCATTACGGCAGATCAGAATGGCGACGCTTAGGCCAGAGCTGGGGGGGCTCCCATCCAGCTGCTGCCCCCTGCTCCGCTTGATGAGAGGTCGACACCCCAAACTGCAGCTTTTCTCCCATATTTTTCCTCTCTCTGCAGCAGATCACCCAGATCCACAAAGACATGTTACCGGCTTTTCATTTGGCCCATCGGACCCGCGGACTTAGAAAACAGCTATCAGCAATTAAAATGTAACACAAAAAATAGCGCAAACCACCTTAAAAATCATCCCGGCATTAATTAGACTGTATGTCGCCCTAATTAAGGAGTAGCCCGGGCTCCCTGGACCCCTCTGATGACATGTCTCTTGTAGATTGGGCAACCACTTTGAAACAGTTGTTTTTTATTTTCCTTCAGGAACTAGGCTCTTCTCCACACTGCTTCTGAAAGCTCCCTTCATGCACTCCGCTGCTCCGGTGTCTGGAGGCATCTCATTCGACACCAAAGACGAGCAAACCGCTGTGGGGAAGCAGGGAAAGGGGGTGAATTGGTTTGTACATCAGCCACTGGTTATAGCAATTATATAGTAGCCCTTTGTGACAGCAAAGTAATAGGAATTAATGTATCCGGTTACTCATTGTTTTCAAAACCATTTAACTCTCGAAACAGATTCACTCCTAAGAGAATTTCTCCTGATTTTTCACTGAATGGGAGATGAGAATTCGCCGCATGCTGGTGCAGAGAGAGATTGGAGCAGACGGTTTCTTCGTGGTGGGGTGGCTGTTGCCATCAGGGACTGCCAGCCAAGATGCATTATGGGAAATCTAGTCACTTGGCTGCTTTGCTAATGAAGCCCTGGTCTGAATCTGTGCCGGCATCGTTTGCCCCATCCCCATTTCACCGCGCCTCCCCCTCCCCCTCCCCCGGGGATGGGGTCAGTCAGTGTGTCTCAGCTGATTGCTGTGTCAAAGATGTTCCTGGTCATTTGCACACCACAGGGCTGCATTCAGTGCTGTTTGCCCTCTCAAGTTGTGCAATAAATGAAGAGACTCTGGATTAAAAAAGAAACTTGTATAGTTATTTCGTGTGGTTACTGTGACAATTCATTATACACGGCTGACTGAGGCGCGCATATAAGCTCAAGGACTCTCTCTCTCTGTTTTCTTCCGTACCTCTTTTCAAGGCATTTTCCCCCGAAAGAAGCATCAAATGCAGCCAGGGTTAAACTCTGTGGAAGCTTTGAAAACGTTGCCGTGCCACAGCTGACACTGGACGGCTAAGCAATTTAAGTATTAATTCAATTTGGAGGCCTTATTTATGAAGGTGACATTCTTTACCACTAATGAGTTTGCTGCACCCGCGACGTGATTCTCAGAATCGCCAGAGTTAGAACTGCAGCCTTCGATAAGAGTCTCCCCTCCATTAGAATGCACCCTTAGCTATGCGGCTTGACCTGAAACGTCATGACTGCTGTTAACTAGAACGGTACAGCCGTCCAAATGTCAAGACTCAGAGATATGCAATAGTAATGGGCACGCATGGGAGCTGTGATTGTAATCCGAGGCAGAGCGGCAGTGATTTAAAAAATATATATATGTATTTTTATATGATCAAGACTCGCTGGATGAGATCTGGAGTTTTACTTTTATAAGGTAAAGGAGGCTGAGCTCATGCAGCTCAAAAGAAGCCTTTGGCATTGCCTGTAAAACAAGTATGGGGTTTTTATTTAATCATTAAGAGAGCTGTGGGCGGCGTTTCCGGTCTTCAGGGGGCCAGTGTGAGAAAACGACCTGTACTCTCCGCGTTCTCCGACAGTGTCATTCTCGTTAATGCGACAGGGTTATTAGCTGTGGCTTCAGTTCGCAGGAACAGTACCTCAGCTTGCAGATAAATCCTTTTTCTGCTCTTGTTTGTTCGGCAAGTATTTTCAAACGCAAACTTGCGAGGACTCTTTCAGCAAGAGCAAGTTGCTTAAATTTTAATCATGGTTAATGGGCTTGATGGTCTTCATTAGCTTTGTCTCCTAGACCCCAGCAATCATAGAAAGAAAAAACTTAGTATAATCTGAATGATAAAGAAATTCCAGTACTCATTTAACCATTTTCTAATGGAGGACAAAGGCCTCTCTACGGCAGCCTTGAAGTAAAATCCACTTTACTTGGAAAAATTATGGCTGAGGGCCAAATAAATCAAAATTTAAATACCTTCACACAGCTAGCTGCGCGATAAACATTCACTGCTCTGTAGTTGGCAATTAAACGCATTCCAGCACCAGCCATGTTTCATCATGCTACCTTAGAGTGGCTGATTAATAAGCTAATTAGCCAGAAACTCTGTCTCATCGCTCAGTGGATACGTACCGCATATTAAATTTAACTCCGACATGCTTCGGTCTACGTGATACGTGTGCTGTAGTTCAGTGACATTAGCGTGTAGTTGATTGGCAACTAGGACAGGGAACAGCTGCATGAAATGTTATTTGGTCCCTCGCATGAACATGGACTTTTTGCTCCTATTGTGATGCGTACTGTAAATAATTAAATTAGTAGGCTTACATTGTTCCTGTTGCTTTGTAAGCATGCTTATACATTTCAAATGTATAATTAAGTCATTGGAAATTAGATTGCGTTACAGGGCACCTGTGAAAAGTAATTAGGAAACTATTAACCATTTGCACAGAAATATCTTATGGTGCCATTTTTTTAATTTTGTTCTGTCACAGTATAATTAATGAATTGCAGTGAAATTATCCTGACGGGGAAGTCGCTTTTTTTTTTTTATAGTTTTTCTGGCCGATGCAGGTGCTGTTACTTTGCAGGGTGTGATCAGGCCGGATGCAGTGGCGTTTTCACAGGTCTGTGGGTGACCCTTCGGGTGGGTCAGCAACACCAGTGCAGAGTGCATGGCAGCCAAATGCTTTGCCCTCCGGCTGGATCCAGGCTTAGCACGCTCTCCGGCAGAAATAAAATTAGCTGTCAGCAGCAAATCCTTCAAATTACACAAAGGTTATTAATGAGATTCTTTTTAATTAGAAAGGAAGAACAATTGTGTTTGTGCTATAAAGTGCAAGTATAACACTTAATCAGATGCTTATTTTTTTCACAGCAGGTACGTCTTAAACCAGTCATTACTCGTTACTATAAGCAGGACTTATCAAAACAAAAATATACTTCATATTGGCTAATAACTGTAACAGCTTAATCTTTTATTAAGGGTTATTTTATTCATATGCATGCCATACATCACCAGATATTTTTGCACTTCTTGCTTTTCTTATTCCAGTTGTACAGCTGCTTAAATGAATGTCACGTGTGGTGATTATAATAATTCTTTATTTTCACTTGGATCTATGTTACCACTGCATACACGAGTGAACTAGAGTGATACAAAAACAGCCCCCAGCTATGCATTTTTGTGATTTTCCTGGGCATGCTGCTGCGTAGTCTTATCCCCTTGACAGAAGCCACACGACAGAACATTTTTCTTAATATTTGTCCAAAGTGATATGTTGGCTACTGAATCTTTAAAATCCATCTTTCCTCATTTCCAGCTATATGAACGCAGAGGCTGTGATACGGGCGACTGCAGGCAGGTGTGTTATGTTTCATGAGAAAGTCATTCGTCTCACTAATTGTGAGGGGGGGCTCTCAGAGCTCCTGCCGCAGCCCAGACCCCTACCGTTTAGCTGACTGGCGTTCTGTAGAGTATGATTGTGTGAAAGTGACCTGCGATGGATGGGGGTCCCTCCCTCCCAGCCTGCTGCCCTGTGCCGACTGGGACTGGGACTGGGACTGGCATCAGGCTCCCCGTCACCCTGACCAGGATAACTGGTTGGAATAAGGATGGATTGTTATAATTTTCTTCTCAAGCCACTTCTCCCAGTACTGATGGCATCCTTTAATAACTTAAACATCTTATATTTTATCGATATACAGAACCAGAGCCAACAGCTTCAGTATGAGAAAGAATAAGTTTGTTTGTTGTAGATGTGCTTGCGCGACGACTTAATCTCTGTGTATAGTGCCTGCAGCATAGTCATACAATTTAGTTACATAGAAAGTCTGTCTTTTAATCATTGCATTTTTTACACAAACCTCATCAGTGCCAGGGAGTGATTACTTAAATTTGCAACAAGGAAGATTATGTTCCTGTAGTTACCTAAACTTTACTTGTCACGAAAATAATTCAATGTGATTCTAAATTTGCTGTCTAAACTGAGCAAGAAATGCAAAACCGTTTCTTCTGTTTTCCAGTATTATTGTTGTTGTAATTGTTGTTGAAGGCAATAAGTTAGCAAAGAGAGAGTCAGATACATAACTGATGGCATATGAATATCATTATTGATGTACCTTTATTATTGAGTAGCAGATGTAAACAGTTAACTTCTAAGATGTGCACAGTTATTGACTAAGCGAACATCAAGTTTTACAAATTGGTTTACCTAAAAAGACAATCTACGTGCAGATGGAGTAATCTTCCTCCTGAAGAGCTTGCTTAGATTACTCTTATTGACACCTGCCTGGGTTTGAATCCCCTTACAATCCAACATTTGGTGTGTGACCCATTCAGTAATCATTGAGAATGCCTCTTCTTGTTTCCAGTGCCATTTCTGTGTCTCCCAACCTTTTGCATTCCTTTCACATCATATCTCAGAGGCGGTCTACAGAATCTGCAGGAGCTCCTTTCGATGTGTCTTTTACAGCATCGTCGTTCTCCAGGAACTTTTTGAGACTTTTACTGGATGTCCTCTTCCTCTGTGCAGGGTGGCAGTAGAATCTGCAGGAGCCTCTGCCTCTGCACTACATTTAGTTGTTAAATTAAAATAATCACCTGGTTGAATCCGTTTCCCAAAGGCGCATTAGTGGATTAAAGACTTGAGTAACTGTCTTGTCTGTTTTTGGGGTTTCTTTCTCATCAATTGGCTTACAGCAAAGCTGAGGAGAACCCGGAGGCCCGTGACGGATGCCCTGGACTGGGCGTGGCGCCAAGGGGAGGGGGCATAGCGCCCCCCCCCCCCCCCCCCCCGCACCCACCTTCTC